CGGAACTGAGGCCACATTCAGTCCCTACCGTAGTAGACGTGTACCTCATACAGCTTACCGGGGTTAAACCATGGTTACTACTATTTCGTCAGTCCCACCGCCGTACATGCATTATGAGAACCAATCAACAGAAAGGTCACCGCTAGCTTGTACTTGTTCGTGGGCCCAAGCGCGATCCGACGTGGCCGAATTACGACAGATACTAGCCGTCGATGATCGTTAATCGACGGACACTATCCTTTACTCCTTTGTAAGTGGGCTCTTTCCCAGGTGGTACCGCGGTACCAAGGGTCTCTCACTCATATAAATTAACCGTAGTTAGTTTATCTCAAGATTCAAGCGCTTCTAAATCGGTCCCTTGTTCCTTTTTTCGACATTGAAAAATGCTTTTATATATATAAGAAAAAAAAGCGAAAGAAGACTTACTCACTTTGAACCTGGTCCATGTGTCCGGGAATGGTACACAAATGTACCGATACGTAAAGAGGTTACGAGATCAAACTATGATCACATCAGATGAATTCAATTTCAAATATGATTATGTTTTGGGCTACCCTCTTCATTATAAGCATTCAAAGCAAAAAAAAAAATGAGTAACTTGTTTTCGTCGTTTTTTTTTTCCCTCAAAATTCCTTCTCGTTCTTTTTCCTCGAATCTTTTTGAATTATTATTATCGCCGTAAGAAGAATACGTATATATATATTTATTAAAAAAAATTGCGTATGTAAATTAACACAGTCGTTAAGGCTCGCGACATTCTGACTCACTGCGGTTAATACAACGACCTCGATGTCGTGCTGCTCTCTTCACCTGAATAGCACGCCCCCCGTCATTATAGCTGCTGTATCTAGACTGAAAGTTGTCCCAAATACAGTTATAATGGCCGGGCGTTCTATTCGGCTGAACACGGTATTCGCAAAGTAGAGTTTGATTTTGAACACTGGAGACCCGATTCAGTGGTCAGCTCTCGATCGTGTAGCTGCTACACGTGAACAACTGTGCACGCTCGAAAAAGGAATATATTTTCTTTTCTTTTCTTTTCTTTTTTCATTTTTCTTTTTCTTTTTCTTTTTGTTTCTCAAACCGGATGATCGTGTATATTAGAGGTCAAAAAAGAAATAAAAAATTCAGTCGTGATTAATCGTCACAAAACCGTACTGATATCATCGATCCCTTTTTCTTAGAATGTAATTGCGAATGTAAGAAGAAGAAGAATGACCAGGGGCAAGGTCCCACTTGCACGGATTAAGAGATTCCGGCCGTAGATCTTTGCTATCTACGACCGGTATCGCTTAATTCGTGTAAGTGGGACCTAACCCCAGCAATCATGGCCAATTGCTCTGCACACGCTCAACAAATATCTTATGAGAAACAAGCTCACATCGCGCACGCGTTCCCAATTGCGGTTAAAATAAGCAAAAGTGAAAAGCCTTACCGATGTGCAGAAATTAAAAAAAAAAAAAAAAAAAAAAAAAAAAGAGCAGCAGCAGGAGTTGGAAGTCCTGTGAGGATCCACATACTCCAACTGCGGTTGAAATTTCCGTCGTACTCGTATTTCCATCGGACATCGCAGACACTCTTTTTTTTTTTTTTTCGCTCAAATAATTTCCAGCGACCAATCTTGCAATCAAATTGGCTTTTTCTTTTTTCTCTCTTTTTCGTGCTGTCGGTGATGGCTTCCTGTTTTGCGCGGGGATCGGCGGGGGATGGCAGGAGCGGGGCATGGGGGCGAAGAGGTGAGGAGAAAGGGGGTATAGTGCATATCGTTTTTTAAGTAACGTATCCATCTAATCATGTACTTAGGCATGCTCCGTTCATCCTCCAGACAAGTTGCATGAGTGTGTTGGACGATTCAGCCAACACGGCAGGAGGTATATCTTTTTTTTTCCAAGGAAGGGCGTATATCAGACTGCCAGAATAACATTGATTCACCCCGAGGAACAAAATACATGAGTGTGTTGGGCGTCCGTCAAAATCGGAGGAACAATAAAAATAAATAAAACAAATTGGAGCAATAGCGCGCAATGCCACGCATAAATCGAGAAATAGTCCAAAATTCATCCTTGGTGGTTTTATGAAATGATGAGTAGCAGTAATACCTTTCTCGGCCTTTTGGCTAAGTAAGATCAAGTGTAGTATCTGTTCTGATCAGTTTAATATCTGATCTGTGGTCCATCGGACCGCACGATATTAAAAAAAAAAAAGAGAACGAAAAAAAAAGATTAGTGTCTCGCATCCCTTGTGTGTGTGAGAGGCGGGCCCAAGACTTGCTACGATCAGGCGGCCGCCAAAGCCTATCTGACCCAAAAAAAAGAAAAAGAGGGAAAGAAAAGGGAAAAAAAAAAAGAATAGAAGAAGAAGAAGAAATGGTCGCACCCACCTGCATATATATATCGTCACAAACAATAAAAAAGAAGAAGAAATTCTGAAGAAGAAATGGTCCAAATTATAGGGAAAAGAAGAAGAAGAAGAAGAAGAAGAAGAAGAAGAAATGGTCCAAATGTTTATTACTAGGAATTATAGGGAAAAGAAAAAGATCCAAGTACAGAGTGTATCTGGAAGCTAAAAATAAGGCTGTCTCTCGAACATAAAAAAATAAAAAAATGAGTCCGTCTTTGGGCCTCGCTCCCCTACTCTACATTCAACACGGTCTCTTGATCAACAGATTCATGGAGACTGATTTGGCATTTTGAATGTATTAGGTCCAGATACGTTTAGAAAATGTTGAGCAGCGTAGCGAGGCGCTTCGTATGACCATTTTCGTTTGGGTGGGAAAAGGATTGTTGGGTGTGTATCGTCACTTCTTTTTCTTTTTTCTTTTTTCTTTTTTAATCTTCATCGATCGGACAGAATTTGACTTATTCTACGTAATTCAGAATGACTTATTCCATCAGGATTTGAGCGCAGGTCTATGTTTCAACAGCTTATATGTGTACCAACTGAGCTAAAGGCTCGCTGGTACTCTGTTCTTTCTTTTTTCTATTGACGTTTTATAGTTTCTTGTCTGCTTCGGGAAATTCGCGAAAAAAAACCCTGAAAAGTTCACGTGTACGCAAAAGACCCCGATAATTTGCGTTCTGCGCCTGACTGGGGTGTAGCAACAACAAAGTGGTATAGAGCAAAATATTTAAATCCAAAAGGGCATTCCACAAACTTTTGAAATTTCAGAAAGGTAGCCATTCCACAAACTTCAGAAATTTCAGAGAGGTATTTATTCCACTCTTTCAGCGTATACATGAACTTTCAGGGGTATTTTCGCAATGTTCCCGTTTACGTTTTTAGCAAGTTTTCCTCCCCCCCCCCCCCCCCCCCCCGGGTCCCGGTGTAGGACCTGTCGGATCGTTGGTTTTTTTGTTTTTTTTTTGTCGGACACTTTCGGAGAGAGGGGGGGGGTTGGGGGGTTGGGGTGTTGGGAACCATTCAGATCGAGCGGCCGTACGTGTGAGGCTGGTCTCGCTCTGTACTTAGGCTCTAAACTCAAACCCAACTCATGTGGCTGAGAGGTACACCCATGAACACGATGTGCAGATCAGCGTTCGAATCCTACTAGTAATGGACTCAGATCAGTAAAAGCTTTCGCAATGACCCGCCAGTTGATGATGATATCTCAAGGTCGTCGCCCATTTTTAAAAAAAGAAAGAAAACAAAACGATACTCAGCTACACCCCCGATAGTGGGACAGGGCTCTCGGGTCCAAGTCCCACAACTAGGGCCAAGTCCCGCTACCTTCTTCCCCCGAATACAACGTACGGTTATTATAGCTGTATCTAGACCGAAAGGTGCCTCAAATACAACTATAATGACAGTACGTTGTATTCGGGGGAAGCAGGTAGCAGCGTCGAGTTTCCTCAACGACTGAATGTGGGCGTGTGTGTTTGAGATGTGTGCAGAAATTGCGTTGAAGATTCAGGCGTTGAGGAAGAAAAATATGTGGGACTTGGGCCCGGGTGTATCTTCCCATGTTGTAGCGGAATATACATTCTTTATTTTCCAACATCAGCATCAGCGCTGATGACTTACTAAAGAGTCTTCAATCCGAACATAACGCCCCCTCATAAAGGATGTGCTCAAGCTATACATTTCCGGTCAGGTACAGCCAAAATGAGGGTGCGTTGTGTTCGGGGGAAGTCGGTGGCATGCATGCCCCGGGGGGCCAAGTCCAAGTTCCACTTACCCGGATTCTCAACTTCTTCTGACCGTAGATTACGTTACGATGATCAGCGGTCAGAAATGAAGACTCAGGGTAATTGAGACTTAGCCCCCGGAGCCCTGACGGCGAACAAACGAACGAAAATAAGAAGAAGAAGAAAAAAGTCAGCAACAAGTCCCCTTTTACCGCATTTTCAACCCTTTCTTTTTTCTTTTTTTTTCTTTTCTTTTTTCAACCCTTTCGAATTTTCTATTACTTCACTTAGTCTACGAATACGGTAAATAAATTAACGCCCGCCGGTTTTACTACGGTAGTACTTCGCGTGTCTACAAATACGGTAAATAAATCGACGCCCGACGCATCCTATCAAAAGCACGTGACGCTCAGCCCTACGACTCGAACCATGAATTTTATGCCTCCTTTCCACAACATGCATCCGCGCACCCACCCATTGACCCACACACACACTCGAAAACTTATGCAAGGACACTCGATCGCTCTTTTCCCCTCTTTTTCTGTGCATGCATGCGGTCGTGGTGATCTATTTCTGAAGAAACCCATTGGTGATGTGTGTGTGTGTGTGTGTGTGTGTGTGAGAGAGAGAGAGAGAGAGAGAGAGAGAGAGAAGAAGAGAGTGAGGGAGACGAGGGGTGGGGTAGATCGCGCATGTCTACTTGTGAAGAAACTCATTTTTTGTACAGAAAGTTAGGCGCACAGAGAGAGAGAGAGAGAGAGAGAGAGAGAGAGAGAGAGAGAGAGAGAGAGAGGGATGGAGGGGGAGCAAGGGGTGGTGGAAGGGGAGGGGAAGGGGAGGGGAAGGGGAGGACGGGTGTGACGTGAAGGATCATACCTGGTGTTTATCTGGGTGTAGAGCGAGAGCATTGGCCAGGAAGAAATAACTGTTAGGCGCCTGGGCCAGGCTCCGTTGTATGTTTCGGACTGGCTCTGCCACTGACCGGAATTCAAGCGTCCCGACACACGTGGAAGCCAACAGCGGCGTGAACACCATGTGATTGCGAGGAGAGATGCACACCACATCGTACATCTCCGTGTTGATGTCTCGCAGAATCCGACCGGCCGCCCACCCCGATCCCAGCACCACTATCCGAGCCTTGTCCCCAGACCCAGGCGGCCCTAGGTACGGTAGCCCGTCTTCTTGTAATGTTCCCCAAGTTTGCTTTCCACTAGACTCTACTGCTTCTCCTCCTCCTCCTCCTCCTCCTCCTCCCCCTCCTCCTCCTCCTCCTTCAGCAACAGCCCTTTTCAACTCGTCAGACCCATGGCCTCCTAGTGCAGGACTGCATTCCGCTGACCGGTGATTTGTATACCATCGTTTGTGATCTTCCCCGCTCCCGTTTGATGTGCCGATGACGTGGCACTGCCTTCGCAGAGACAATGCACGCAAACCAGAGTTAAGGAGGCATTCGCCACGTGGCATGATCTCCGGCTTCGCCAGGAGAATTCCTTGCGAAGCCGTGGGTAGTATTACTACTTGTATTAAGGAGTTGGAACCCCTGGAAGCGCAGCCCGCGATGAACGGGAGCCTGCCCTCCTGTCTGCCTGGGCTACAGACGTGCGGATCCTTGTCGCTCGAAAGAGAACGAGGCCAGGATCCGACACGTGGCGCGACTGCGTGGTGGCGTCTCAACGACCCGTACTCTCGTCCAGCGAGGCAAGCTAATTGGAACCCGGACGCGGCAACTCGGCGCGTAGACATTGCCACCCCGCGCGCCATTCTTTGCGCCCTCTGCATCCTGCTGCTGCCGCAGCAATTGATCGACAGCCTATCTGACCCTTTCTTCCCTCCTCCTCTTCCTCCTCTACTTCTCCTCCTCCTTCTCCTCTACTTCTCCTCCTCTTGGAAGACCTCCGTCTTCGTCTTCTTCTTCTTCTTCTTCTTCTTCTTCTTCTTCTTCTTCTTCTTTGGCCAGGGAAACAAGGACGATCTGCGATCGTATGTTGTTCTTAAGGATTCTACACATCAATGAACATGAAATAATTCTAGAGCTCCTACACATCAATCAACATGAAATACGTGGATACCAATTCCTTCTCACAACACATTGAATTTCTCCTTCTCCTTCTTCTTCGTTGTCGTCGTCGTTGTCCTCCTCTCCTCCACCACCTCCTACCTCTCCTGCTCCTCCTCCTCCTCCTACTACTACTACTACTACACGTTGTTCCGCTCCTTATCCTGTCCCTTCCCTCTGCTTTGATGACTAGAGATCTCCGTCTGCGCTCTCTAATGCAGGCGAGCGTTCCGCTCAAGGACGATCCACCATAGAATGGCACCTATCTAGTTTGGCCAAATTTACATCTCTCTATAATACACCTGATCCTGATCTAATTGCAAGCATCAAACGATCACCGCGTGGGCAATATACGACACAGCGCTGATCGAGGGAATCATGCCATGGCCTGAGCTTCGGCGTGCCATTTGCGACGTGCTTCCATGGCGTATACCAAATGCTTCGCCAGAACGCGCCACCTGCATTTGACTCCGCGTTCCCTCGAATCGGATGTGCTCTAGGACACCGTTCCTTTGTCGTTTTGTGCAATCGAGCGACTTAACAAGGAGCTGCCGGACGACAGCGCAGGTCCATTTCTGAGCAAGGGAGAGACGTGCGAGTGCTACTCGCTAAGGTAGTCACCAGACATCTCCATCACTTTACGGCATTTTCACATGGGTATTACCCAGACGTGGAATGAATCTGACCTCTTTTGCAGTCTTCGCACCAGATCATCATACATATTTAATTCTGTCAGCTCCAAAGGCCAATAGACTGGAGCTGGAGCTGCTAGACGCAAGCCACCAGACTTGTCGACAGCTTAGTAAGGCATTTTCACACCGGCAGAATTCTGGCTTGTGATGAATCTGACCTCCTTTGCAGTCCTATGCACCAGATCATCATACTTCGTTAATTTTGTCAGCTCCCCGCCAATAGACTGGAGGTATCATCATACTTAGTTAACTTCGTCAGCTCCCCGCCAATAGACTTAGTTAATTTCGTCAGCTCCCCGCCAATAGACTGGAGGTGACTCCCCGCCAATCGACTGGAGGTGACTTCCCGCCAATAGACTGGAGGTGACTTCCCGCCAATAGACTGGAGGTATCATCATACTTAGTTAATTTTTTTGTTTTGTCGGCTCCCCGCCAATAGGCTGGAGGTATCATCATAGTATCATACTTAGTTAATTTTGTTAGCTCCCCGCCAATAGACTTAATTTCGTCAGCTCCCCGCCAATAGACTTTGTTAATTTCGTCAGCTCCCCGCCAATAGACTGGAGGTATCATCATGCTTCGTTAATTTTTTGTTTTGTCAGCTCCCCGCCAATAGACTGGAGGTATCATCATACTTAGTTAATTTTGTTAGCTCCTTAGCTCCCCGCCAATAGACTGGAGGTGCTACTAGTAAGTCACCAAACTTCTCGACAACTTCAAGGCATTTTATTCACAAATATCGTGATTTCTAATGAATTTGACCTCTTTTGCGGTCTTGTGCACCAGATCATCATATACTGAATACTTAATCGTCATCGGCTCACCAATGGACTGTACCCAGCCATCACAATGTGGAGAAAACCCACAACATCGGCTTCGCGCTCATATCGTCGCGATCTTTTTTTGTCAATCCCATGAATCTGACCTCTTTTTCAGATACGTCCACCAGTTCATCACAATATAACTGCAGACCTTGTTATCGTTCATGCTCACGAGTAAATCTTTGAATTTTTTACTTTTGCTTGGCCACAAAATGGTTTTTTTTTTTT